CCTGACTAAAATGTGGCCCCAGTCATCTGTAAATGAAGACTAAAAGTGGGCTACCTGTATTAAAGTGGGCCCCAATCTGTTGTGAAAGGAGGGCCATATGTGGGCCCCATGCTGGTCACCATAGGGGCCTTAACAAGGAGCCCTCTGTGTGCCGCCAGTTTCACGACTGACTTTTAGCCCACATGGCCATGTTTGCAGGGAACATGTGCCTTGTGTTAATTTTAATATATCAGTGTTTACATCATGTGCACTTAGGGTTTAATTATACACACACTGTCAGGTTTGATTCAATTTCAGATTCTGAATTCAACATTCATTTTATTTTGGAATACTTTTATGTGTTTGTCTTGATTCTGCAGAATTCTAATTATATACTACACTGCTTAGTTGTATGAAAGTTCTTCAGTCGAACCTTTTTCAACACCTGCCACACTGACCACTAATAAAATACCACCCCCCCCAACACAACCTATAGAATGTATAAGCTGCCTAGAATTAAAACCCAGTCATTTAAGTGTAGGTGTGTCAGTAGCGTAAGCCCCCACCCCTTAACTTTAATCTGAGTGGATGGATTCAAATGATTTCCAATTTATTTTTATACCATTAAATACCATTAAATACCATTAAATCCTAATTCTGCTTGCTTTGGTCCTGGCTGCATTGAAGTCCCTTAACTGAAAGAACCATCAGTACAAAGTTTTAGGTTGGATGTTTTATTTATTAGATACAGTGTAGTGGCGGCTATATGATATGATGTACAAATACTTGACTTTAGCTGTGTTTAAACATAGCTGCTCACTCACCTTAAGTCTGCACCCCTCGCACACTACACATTTCTCTCTCCACTTGACTCTTGACCTGAGCCAAAAATCTGCAGAATAGAGCCAGCCAGCTCAGACTCAGCCAGGCTGAGAATCGTGGCTAAAACTGGGGTAAAACTCATAGGGTAAGAGGTGAGTAAGAGGTTTGAAGGGTCACCAAATTAATTATGCTTTGAAATTGTCTATACATGACTTGGATTAAGGACTAATGATCATAATAAACTCTGAGAACTTACCAAAACCATTTTCTGCCAGTTGATGTACGTAGAGAATTGATGGTTTGGATCAGACTAAACTAGATTTTTTGTTGCATTGCAAACTGAGTTTATATATATTTTTTTCTTTTTCCAGAAATGAATGATGTCCTGTTTCAAGTGTTCCTCAGGAGAGAAGCCGTATTACTGCTCAGAGTGTGGGAAGAGTTTCAGGAATTCAAATGGTTTGACAATACACAAGTGCACTAAGAACAGAGGTGGAAATTCACAGTAATAATTGTAACTTTAGAACAGAATTTCAAAAATCTGTGTAACTTTTATTAGACGGGGAAATCCGCCTTTTGTTGTTTTATGCTGTTTCTAATATGTGAGTGTAAAATAAAATTTTATGAAAAATACTAATGATAAGGCAAGGCAAGTTTATTGATATAGCACCTTTCATACACTTGTCATTCAGAGTCCTTTAATAAGATGAAAAAAATCTGAAAAAAAATTTTAATTTAGTGTATCTAAGCTAGTATAGTGTTTCTAATGCTATGATGGATGCTTTGACAAATAGTTGACAAAAATTTGATAGTAGACTTTGCTCTTAAAGTCCCTCTTTTGCTCTTTTGATTCCTGTGTGTTAGGGCTGCAACAAAAGACTTATTAGATTGTTGAATAATCTGCTGATTATTGAAATGAATAATCGATTATTCTGATTATAAATCACAAATTTACCAAATAACTCTTGTGTAGCCATCTGCTTTGAAATTTAGTGTGAGGTTGTTTTATGCATTTACTAACTAACAATGAGGACAATAAAGATGAATATCTTATTTAAAAATTCACTGTTGTGATGATCTTTCCTGCTAATACAAAAGACACATAAAACTCCAAATATCTTTTTCCTGTCAAAATTTAAAACCAAGGATGTGCAAAGTAGCAGAAAATATAACCAAATAAGTTTTCCCTTAATTAAGTATATAAAAAAGGTCAATCTAAATTACTCTTCCCTGCTGCAGAGAAGATGCACTCTAACGGGGAAAATGGCTAACTTTTGTGGCAAACGTGTTATCTTTGAACAGTTAAATCGGAATGATTTTGTTTAAACATTTTCATTTCGACGGTAACCCTTTGAACAGCTGCCCTGTATATTTATGTAGAACTACCTCTTGAAACTATGAGAGTTTGCAAATGTTCTCCTGTGTTTGCCGAATCTGAACGGACCAGCAGCCTCAATGTTAAGACAACGACGTAATGTTTAAAGCCGTAAACATTACCTGGAATGTAAACGGGGTTGTTGTGAATAATAGTTATTTGCTTCTCGGTTCCAACTCCATTAACGATTGAAGAGAACATGCATTTCGAAATAGATGTTACAGTTCATAACATGAAATAGGACTGATTTTAACTTTAACATTAGCTAACTAGCTCACTAGCACAGCTTTCTTACCAATATGAATCTTCTTAATCCAGTGAGCCAACATGTTTCCGCTTCAGAGGCTCCAACATGGAGGATGTGTTTCTATGTCAGCTAAGGTTTGTAGCACAACTGAAATTTTGCCATTGCACTTTTGTCAACTCTCCAGTAAGTGGTAATGTCAAAACATTTCCTGCGAAAAATACGTGTAATGATGTTAACACCTAATCCACTATTAAATTAGTTGCCAACTAATTTGGTTGTTGATTTTAGTCGACTAAGTCGAATAATCATTGCATCCCTAGTGTGTGTTACATGTTTGCTTGTTGCACTGAAAGTGTCACTCTGTCTTCCCTTTCAATCTTTGAGATGTTTTCTGTGTGCTGTATATTCAGACAGTTCTTGTTGAGGACTACACACTAAAAAATGGAGGTACGATATAAGTACTGTCTTGTACTCTGAGGTACACTTTTCACAAATGTGCCCTCAAAGGTATAATATTGGACTTCAAAGGGTCAGATATGTGCCTTCTGATTTTCTGAAAAGTACAAAAGTCTTTCCTAACAGTAAAAAGTACAGATTTGTACCATTTAACCACCAACAAAAGGTACATTTGGGATGGGCTACCTCATTTGCACATCATTATGAAGAGATGGCAGTAAAGGCTTATGATGTCATGCCTATTTTATATAAATGTAGTATTAAGTATTAAGATACACACACACACACACACACACACACACAAATTTATATATATAATATATTAAAATATATCACATATCATTCTCTCTACACACACACACACATATATACACACATATATATGTATGTGTGTGTGTGTGTGTGTGTATGTATGTATGTATGTATACACACACAACTTTGTTATTTTTGCCTGTAAAAGCCAGACTTCTTTTAGGGTCTATTTTTGTAATGAGAGAGAGAGAGAGAGAAAAGCTCCTCCCCTTTACATTTTCAAATTTAACGGTCACGCATGACGGCGGAGGAGTCTCAGAAATTCAAAGGTAAGTGCGTTGTAATCATAGTAAGTGACTTTAACGTACTCACTTTCATAGGTAACGTTAGCTAAACTACTTAAGAGCGCTAGCTAATTTAATGAATCAACAGCTTCGTTATGCTGTCTAGCTAATAAGCTTACCTTTTTAGTGAAGGTGTAGAGGAAGTTAGCCCCTAATATTTTAAACAAACTAAGTTGTATTAACTAACAGTTATGTTTTCAACATTTATTTCAGCAGTAGGCCGGTGAGGTGCAGTGAAATGCAAGCTAGCTAACGCTAACTAAGTTGCTAGCTAATGATGCTAACCGACTTTTAAAAGAGCGGGAAGAGCGTGGCTGTGGCGAGTTCAGTGAAACGAAGGCTAACACTGAGGAGCTCTCATGACTCCAACTGTAGCAGGCGAGTCCTTTATTTTTAGTTACAAATGGCGATATTTGTGTCTTTTTTTTGTAAATGTCTGGAAGAAAGCCGAGTAAGCACTAAATTACCTCTTTTTGTGCTTTTGCGTGCTATACAATCCATCTCAAGGCATTCAACAAGAGAACTCACGAGTGCGTCACATCGTCAGCTAGCTAACTATATTAATCCGTCATTGGCCGGGAATTATTTAGCCACCGTCTCATTGGCGTGTTAGCTCTTTTAAACAAGGCTTGCTAAGGTTACCTGAGTCTTTCTAAAAAATCTATCATCGTTAGCCTCCTAAGCTAGCTCTTGGCTAATAAAGAGCCTGGCACTACAGGCAAAGAGCATTTTTACGACCAGTATAATTTATAATTGGTTAGTATTAGTTTTATATACGTTAGTAATTAGCTAACCGCTAGTTGTTTTGGCTCTGCGCGTCGTAAACTAGCAGGAGGCTGAAGTTGGCGTCTTATTCGAAACGTCCGGCGAGTTTGGTTAAAATTAAAAGTTAACATGGACCGCTTAAGGAAGCGGATTCTGTGTTTTTGGACGTTCTCATTCAAGCTTTTTCGCCAGGCAAATGTTACTCGTGTTTGTTGTGACCCTGGCTCTGCTGTGGAAAAAAAAGGTATTTGCACACGCCTTAGCCATTTACTTGGATCCGACCTGCACCGACCAACATGCAAACGTTCAGTTTAATTTAACTATGATTCTGTTTCACACACAAGTTATACGTTAACGCTAATAATTTAACCGCTAACTAACAAACCAAATATGTCTGAGTCCCTGAGTGCTGAAGTGGTTAAATCTGTCTGTCGTCACGTAACGATAAATGCATGCTAAACTGTCTGCACCTGTACTAGCTATAAGCCCACTGAGCTGTCCGTGTCGTTGACTCGAAGAGCAAGCCTAATAATTCCCGGCCAATGACGGATCAATGTAGCTGACGATGTGGCGCACTCGTGAGTTCTCTTGTTGAATGCCTTGAGATGGGTTGTATAGTAACAAAAGCAAATCTACCTGCCAGTTGTAGTTATCCAGCCTTTGACTTTTTTCAGTTTACCTCCCATCTTCAAAGTATTAGATTACTTTAGACTGTGAACCTTTTTTTTTCTTTTCATTTTAGACAAATGATGTGGACAGAGAGACCGTGGACTGTGGACTTACAGAAGCCATGATTGCCTATCTCTTTGACAAGTCTTTCAAAAAACAATTAAAATTCAGAGACTTTGTGTGTCGAAACAAGGAGGTGACTCTTAATTTGGAAGAAGTCACACCAGAAGTAGAGCACCTGACTCAGAGTGAAAGGTAAGGATTTTTAATAATGGATATTACTTTTCTCAAAATGTATTCACCACCTGTTTGCTATGCTTTATGTTTTTGGTTGACTCATCCATCAAACAATAGAGTTGAATTGGATTAAACCAGCTTCAGGTTGTTTTTACCTCTTATCTGAGTTTTAGTCTCATCCTATATAGTCATATAGTAGTCATAGAGACAGGCATTTCCTTTTCATTTTTCAGACACGAACCAGTTTTCCAAAGACTAACTGCTGTCATATCCATTTCACGTTTTCCAAAAGATGTCCAGAGCCGTCTGGGTGCCAAAGAGCACTGTCAAAAGGTTCCAAGAGATCGGAACAAAATTAGAGCGCTGCATGAAATAATGGTACAGTACACAATGTAAGTTCTGCTCTATATAGCTCAGTGGACTATTATAAAATCATAGCTTTTTTTATGATGTAAGCATTAGGGCTGCTCAGTTCAAACTAAAGTACTTTGTTTCAATTATACTGCTCTATACCTTGTCGAACACTGAAAATGCACTAAAAAATTATGATGTGCCATTTTAAAGAATAACCATTGACCAAATGATGTACAGTGGTATGCAGAAGTTTGAACACCCTGAGTCAAATCACATGCTTTGTTGATTTTCTAAGTGAAAATAAGTTCACATCTTCCTAAGGGAACAAACGTACCTCATGTATTACTGTGAATTTCAGTGCAAAATTTCTGTTTTTTTGATGAGTTAGACATAAAAGAAAAAATAAAACAAAATATGCCTTTACTTTTGCACAGGCCACAATTTTTGTATTTTTCGCAATATGTTAAATTCATCAAATGAATAGTTATTTTGCAGGAAATTGTGCAGGAGTAGCTCTGTAGAGATTGAATAGTTATTTTTACTTAGAAAATCAACAAAACATGTTATTTTTTATCAGGAGTGCCAAATGTTTACATATGATTTTGTCTAGATTGGCAGAATTACTGGACAAATTTGATTCATTTTGTTGCTGTTGTTGTGCAGGTATCCAACCAATGCAGAGTATGTTCAGGTTGCCTAAGCTTTAATCTTGAAGTACCCTGTCCTGAAGGATGTTGAGGGGAATGGTCATGTAAGTTAGTGTTTTTTTTTGTTTGTTTTGTTTTTTTTGTTTATTATTATTTTTTTTAAAAGAAGTATTTTGTTATTTTTGAAAATGGTAATCGGCTACTTGATAATAGTAGTTGGTATAATGTTGGATTGGTGTAATATTTTAAACTTATTAGTGATCTGGTGATTACTGAAAACATGCATGTTTTCACTTAATGCTGTTCATCAACCAGCACACCTGGCATACATCACTCAAGTGGAAGTTCAAGGCAGAATGGGCACCACTCATTAATGACACAGAGGTCCGAAAATTTAAAGAGAAGTTTCACCAAGCAAGGAAGTCAACAGGTGGATCTGAAACTTTGCGTGCTAAGCGAACTAAGCCATTATCAGTAAGTATCTATTTATATTGGTTTTAACAAGGGAGAGATTTGAGTAATGCACAAATTTTTTGGTTGTGACTGATTACTTGCATCTTTTTTTTTTTTTAAAAGGAATCATGCATTGTTGGAGAGCTGGAGATGCTATGTCTGTTGAGACTCACGTTAAGGTATTGTATGACCAGTATAAGAAGGCACAACCTGATATGATGATTGTAAAGGACCGCATGAAGAAGACATTTGCATGGCGACGTCAAGAAATAGCGGAGGGAATGACTATTGAAAACATCTTGATGAAATACCAATTTTTAAGAACATCCTCAGGGGTAGGTGGAATAACATAATGGAAAGTGAAACAGCTAAATTAAACATAGCCATCAAATGCCCCAATGTTAGCTATTGCTGGCAAGTGTTGGACCAACATTAAATAGGTATAAATTTATCTTTTATATGTCTGATGACCTATTTATGGCTTAATACAGATCATAAGGATTGGCATATATTAGCATTTTACTATATAGTCTATCTGTCTAATATGGTTTTGTCTATTTTATGCCGTTATCGTTTAGTTGTATGATGAGGTTGATGCCATCCATCCTTTGACGGTGAACATGTATCGGCGCTTCAGCGAGGGATTTACAGCTGTACTGCCTAATTTGTTGAAAGTCGTCAAGGGGACATCGCCATTGAAAAACTGTATCTGGAGGCGATAAAGGAAGCCCTGGCTGAGGACCTTCCAGGTTGTGATTTTGACCCAGATATATTATTATTGCATCAGTGTTGCCTCTGTGCTTTGGAATGTAAATTGTTTAAGTAAGTACAGGATTGTTATGAAAGCACCCCCCCCCACCCCCTTGTCTTCATGATGATGTAGGCATTGACTTCAGGGGCGGACTTGTTCTTTTACCATCCATCTTCAGGGACAACGCTGACCACCTCATTACTCTTGGAGAGGTAAGAACTGGTGCCACACAAACTGATAGGGCCCCCCCTTAACAGAAAGTCAGGAATATGTTTTTTAGTGTACCATGCCAGATCTGTTTTATTGTCATGCATTTTAACTCATGCCCACCAACACACACTCACTGACTCAAGTAGACAGAATATTCTCCATGACGGGGTGATCAACCTTCTCTTCTAAACCAGTCATGCCTCCACTGCACCAGTGCACAAATTGCCCACTTAGAACATTTACTCTTGTGAAGCTCATACAACACATCAGACTTGTACATGCACATGAACTTCACTTCAGCATAACTTGTGGTATAAATGACTGCTGGTTTACTTTTTCCAAGTATCATTCTTACCAAAGGCATGTGTACAGAAAACACAAGCACAATATTTTTCCCTCCCCTGAGAGCAATGAGGAGGTTACGGAAGAAGAGGTTGACCTTTATTTTCAAGGTTGGAGTACATGCTCATAAATTCTGTCATGTTCATGCATGAAACTCTGTCTTTTTATAATTGCCATGATATCGACATTGGACGTTTTGTATTTTGTTGATGCCACATTTTGTTGTGAAGCTGTTCCTTGAAAATGTTAGTTTTAGCATTACGATGGAGTGGGGCATGTTTGGAGTTTGAAGTGTTTTTAAGAATGTCAATTTTGTATTCTGAGTGTTGTGTGTGTGTGTGTGTGTGTGTGTGTGTGTTTTAAGGCTGATCTTCTCTGGAGTATCTTTTGTTTTTATTTTTTGTACACATTCGTAAATTCTGCCATGAAATACGCTTTTCAAAATATTGACATTTGACCTTTTTTACTTTGGATTTATCGTGTTTGTACACTGTTAATGCTCTGAAGTTATTGAAAATTGCATTGGTGGTGGGCCAGTTTTTTTACTATTTGACCTCACCTTCATAAACAGTTATTGTATTCCTCTTTGTAATGCTCTTTGAATTAATGCTAAATTTGTCTGTTTACTACTAAATAAACAGTGTACAAAGACATTATGAATATTTTGTGTGGATATTTCTGGTACACTTTTGTCACTATAGGGTCCAAAATGGCTTGTCGCTGGGGTGGTACCTCTAAAAGCACATGTTGGTACCTTTGGGAAAGGGTACACAGTTGTACCATAGTTCAAAGGAACATTTTTGCCTCTTGGGGTATGTAATTGTACCCTAACTGGTACAAAAACCATGGGTACAAAAAAGGACCTGCACTGAAAGGTACAGTATTGTACCTCAACAGGGTACAGCCCCAGCGACAAGCCTTTGTACTCACTTAAGTACAAATCTGTACTTAATTTTCTTAGTGTGTATAATGAAGGAGATCTGATGCTGAAGACTGCAACAGTGAAGTTTTGCTGTGGTTCAGTTCTACCCACAGCTTTTTAAAGGATTCACAGGAGTGTGATGGACTGCAAGACATCTACAAGACAGCTATCTGAGTGACGTACTGGGGACCTCTCCTCAGTGTAGCCTACACATGTCTGTTCTATGCTGCGTAAAGTTGCATACAGGCCAGACAACAACTTCTCTATGAACTTCCCAGAGCGACGTTTGCTGATGTCAGAAGGATGTGCTTGAGAGCCACTATCTTTGCCATTATTAACCTATTGAAATTATATTTCTCAACTTTTTTTAAATAATATTTAAGTTCCTGTAAACCTGAAAAATATTTTTCCTGTTAAATTTTGTAAACATTTTTTTCAATTAGGTGTGGTTGTTTGTTTTTAGGTTTTCATGGTATATGACATAACAAATTATGAATGTTTGTCATACATTTCTAGCAGTAACTAGACTTTCTTTCTTACTCTGAGCCACATCAGGGTAGGCCTCCACTAACCACCCCAAACATGTTCTCCACATGGTTTGCTAGAAGCAGACACATTACTCAGCCATACTGGAAAGCGGTGCTCCATCTTAATCATAATGCTTCCAGAGGAGACTCCATCGGCCAGGCTAACAGGCTCCACAACTGCAGGGACCTGGTTTTGGGTTATCTTCTGCCCTCCACACCAGGTACTCACACTCTGGAGGGACTGTATATCTCTCTTTAGCACTATTTTTGAGATTGCATAGGTAGGCAGGTGTGGGCTCTGCTCCAATAAACACCTTACCTGAGGCATGTATAGTGAAGTCAGCAGCATGGAAGAAGAAGAAATCTAAGGTGAATAATCATGTTACCAAAGCTCTTTTATACAAATGCACTAAGAAAATAATAAAATACAGATAAATATATATCATATTTTAATGTACCTCCATATACCATAAAATGTTGTACAAGAAGCATGGAAATTGAATTACTGAGATAAAAACCAGTGCAAAACGCATCATTCTAACATTTCAAGTAAGATACTCTTAATACAGACAAAGTTTCCTCAAAAAGAACACCATCTCATAACAAATCTCTAACACCAGTGACAAGTATTTAATATTTTAGGAGCTGTTTAAGCAGAAGTCCAAGTGGTTCCAAGAGTTTAGAAACTTTTTCATGCAACTGTACACACAGTAGACAGAAAAAGTGAAATGCTTAATCTGTGTTTTGTTATGTTGGTGATTTTTTTTAAAAAAATCCTGTTTCACTACACATCAGCGCATGTGAAGGTTGGCAGCTAAATTTCACACTAGGTGCACTAGGTGACCAAATTTTGACCTTCAGTTTGGAGTAGCTTGGTCTCCTCATTTAGAGAGAGGAATCTCGTCTATATGGCAGGAAAAACCTGCCCGCCGAGTGAACAGACTCTTCTACACAGACGCTTGTGAAGCCGCTCCAGGCCAGATGGTGGCGCTAATTCTGTAACTGACTTTCTCCAACTGCACTAAAGTGGAGAAGCGGAAGACTGTGTTGTGGTCAGCAGCTCAGACAGTGTTGTTGTAGGAAAAGAAAACAAGGTAGGAATCTGTCTGACACTTTAACACTCACTGTTCTTCATTCACTCTGAGACAAACAGCTGGAGACACATCTGAGTTCTGGAAATGAGATCTGATGGCTTTAAAACAGATCAGACACACAGAAGCAGCTTCACTCAGACAGAGCTGTTTCAGGACTGTGGTCACTGTGGTGGGAGGACCTCGCTCGTAGGGCAGTTTGGGATCAGAACACGTGGGAATCCCGAGTTAACACGTATTCAGCGCGTTAATGCTGTAAGTTAAGTGTTTTCTGTTTGGGTTGTGTTGCTATTGGGAGACCATGATGCTTCACCGCCCCCTGCTGGTGAGGCGTCATTGCTCAAGCAACATACAGAACCAACAGACCAAATAATTGAAAAATTTGTTTTTTAATTAATCGTTTGGAAGAAATTCTCCATAAGCATAAATATATTGTATTGTTGAACAGTTTAAAGCTTATAATGACATATTAAGCATATTAAGCAGCATATTAAAGGCAGCGTTTTGTTTCAAAATGGGTCTAAAATAATTCTAAGTTTGCATTGATATTATGTTGTGATACAAACTTTATCCAGACAACAGTTTAATGGTCTCTGAGAACCAGTGGCATTAAAGAGTATCTTGTTTTGTGTTTAATGGTGCTTGATTAGTTTGTGAATAAGAAGGAAAATGTAATAAAAAGTGACTAATGGACGTTAAGGATGTTAACGGATTGTAAAAATATAAACTTAGAAAATGGTATTTATTAATATGTAAGGCAGTAGGGAACCAGCCAGGCTTTCTACACCTTCAGAGAAGGCCTAATGATTACGGGGGGCATGAAAAAATACATTGTAATTTTTAGTTCATTATTATTTAGTATAATCATCTTTATGTTTCATATATAAATGTTAATAGTATGTAATGGTATTAATAATATTTGAGAAAATGTAAAGCCTTAAAGTTGATAACGTCATCATATGGTAGCAATTAGCCTTTAAGTGGTGCCTGTCACTTTAAAAACCTCTCGCGAGACTTAAATAAATAAATAAATAATGAGGGCTGTAGCTGCACAGCGAGCTGACCACTAACCTGTGGAAAGAGAGACTGAGAGAAAAAAGGCAAGTGTGAACCATTAAATACTGAATGAGCTGAATTAAACTATTACTATTATAAAAGAGTGTTGTCTGAGTGTTTTTACGAGACGAAGGGCAACTGGAGAAAACTTTTACAAGCTAAAGGGAAGACTGGAGGGTGAGTTTAAATCATTCTGTGGCTAGCCTTTTGAGGTGTTGGGATGTTTGAGATGTTTGGTAGCTAGTTAACTAACTAACTGACAATGGAAGAATTCAGTTCTGTGGGTTACACACGTTTTGACTTCATCTGAATACTTTTCAAATCTGACTTTGGTTAATGATAATCAAGTCACCTATCTTTGGGATTATTGAGATGTTTTGACATCGAGAGAGTTTTTATATTTACTGTAATGTTGCCACTTTGACAAGCTGGCTGCAAAAAACAGACAGAAAAGATGAAGGTAGGCTGCACAGTTTTCTGTTTCTGGATAATAATAATAATAATATAATAATATATTAATAATAATACATTTGGATGGATGAGCTAAATATCATTGTCATTGGTTTAATAAAGCGTTGGTACAATATTGCGTTGTCACTGTAATCATGTAGTGGAGCATTTGGTTTTGTAATACATACATACATACATCATCTAAACCGCTTATCCTTCTGGGTCGCGGTGGGGTGCTGGAGCCTATCCCAGCTGTCATTGGGCGGAAGGCAGGATACACCCTGGACAGGTCGCCAGTCCATCACAGGGCAGACAGACAGACATACACAATCACACACACACTCACACCTAGGGGCAATTTAGCATGTCCAATTGGCCTGACTGCATGTTTTTGGACCGTGGGAGGAAACCGGAGTACCCGGAGGAAACCCACGCAGACACGGGGAGAACAGGCAAACTCCACACAGAAATGACCCTGGTCGCCCAGCCGGGAATCGAACCCAGGCCATTCTTGCTGTGAGGCGACAGCGCTACCCACAGCGCCACCGTGCCGCCTTGGTTTTGTAATAATGCTCTTTTTTTTGATATGGGATCATGAGACAGCATGCACTGTTTATAGAATACAGTTGGATTTCATGCTATCATAGGTGTGAAAACAAGGCTGACATCTTGCATCTAATTCGCTAGCTTGCCTGATTGTCCATTCCACCTTAAGTGGTGCAGCAGTTCCACTCAGACGAGTGCATTTATGACTGGAAACAAATTGTGGACTGAACGCTGACAGTATGCTGGGGTTGCATCCGATTGGGGTCCCCTTCAAATTAGTGCTTCCCTTCACAAGTCAAGCCCTTGAGCGTGCATTCACTGAACAAAACTCGATGCCAAGCAACACTGGAACTATGGAAAGCCAAAAGGTCACTGAAATGTCTCAGTTGCTGGAGCAAGGGGAGAACATGAGTCACAGCAGCTCATTATAGACTTACAGTGGCTACCTGTATTAACGTGGGCTCCAATCTGATGTGAAAGCAGGGGCCTATGTTAGGGCCCCACTCGGGACATCAAGCCCTGCGTGTGCCCCCAGTTTCATACTGACTTTTAGCCCACAGTGGCCCCACACTGGTCCCGCAAAGCCTTGTTTGCCAGGAACATGCACCTCATGTCTTAATTTTAAAATGTCAGTATTTACATCATGTACAGTAGGGGTTTAATTATACACAAAGTGTCAAGTTTGATTTAATTCTAGATTCTTATGTCAAGGTTCTTTATTTTTAGAATACTTTGTGTTACAAATGCCCTCTGCAGAGTCCTAATTATATGCTATGCCAATGGTTGGGTGAAAATAAAAAAAAAGTTCTTCAGTAGAACCTTTTTTTTAACGCCTGAAGCACACCTCCATCTCATATCTCTAATCTAATCGAGCCTTTAGATTGTATAAACTCTTAAGAAATAAAAGCTAGTCATATGAGCGCAGGTGTGTCAGTAGCATAAGCACTCCCCTTTGCTTTAATTTGTTTGGATGGATTAAAATGATTTCCAAAAAGCCTGTGTACGCCAAACTCTCAGAATAGAGGGTTTATTTGTGATAGTTTTATAGTGCAGCTTGTTGTTTCGTGTCAGTACAGTGTTAGCTAAAAAGTGTCAAACTAATTGAAAATGTAATAATGAACTTGCAAGTGATTTACGATTTATATTTTCCACAGACATATGTTCAGAGACTGAGATTTTCAGATTAGTGAATGATTTTCATCACAGAATTGGATAAAGTTTTGCCAATGGGTAAGTGCATAAAGTAGTGTGTGTGTGTGTGTGTGTGTGTTGCATCAATACTGATATTTTGACTTTGATATTCATGTCAGTTTTGATGTCTCTGTAATTATTCCAAATCAACACCTCAGGCAACAGATTAATTAGAATAAAATATTTGGCTTTATTGGCCAAATATGTTTGTACATACAAGGAATTTCAAGCAAGTTACACAGAAGCTCACAGTTCCACAGTAACTGACAGCAGAAGTTCATATGAAAACTATAACAAAAGATTTCAAGAAGTAAAGTTTGGACTTTGGAACAGCATCTAATGCAAACTAGAACTCTTTCCGTGGACACTCGGCAGAAACAGAAAACCTGAGCTTAGACAGGGTGTTTGTAATAACTGAGCCAACGCTGCTTTAGCTGCTAGATAGAATTCTCCCTTCATATAATGAAGGGTTGGTCAGACAGTCTGTTCTGCTGTGAGCTTGAAGGAGGTGTGTTAGTGGATGGTTGTGGATACATAATTTCTGTTGTGTGTGAGCTTCAAGGGTTTGAGAGAGTGAATAGGAGTGACTGAATGGGAGAGAGATGTTGCTGCTGTGATTCATCACAAGCTCTACAACTGGAAGTGTTTCAATATTTCCAGTAGCCAGACTCTTCTCTTAACAACACTTGTTAGCAATTTGCTCATGTTTAGGTGTTTCAGAGAGGCTAAGTGTATATACAGACTTACTAAATGAAGCCATGGAGTTCTCCATGCTACTTTCACTTTTTCAAAAAGGAAAGTAATTTGCCTAGTGCCAACATTGGTCCATTTGAGAAGAAATGTTACAGTTCCAAATATTTAGTATTTTTGTGCTGCATATTAGCATCAAATTCAGTGTGTAGTGACTTTTATTCTGTGTATTTCACTGTCTTTGTGGTGAAACATAACAAATACATTAATAGAGATGTCAGTATTGAAATAAATTAATCCAAGCGGTTAATTGAGTATCCATGCGCTTTCCTAAGCGTACTTTCATAAGCATTAACACAGATCTCTCATGAAGCACTACAAGCTGCCACAAAACGATGCCAGTTGTGACCAGACCAGTTTAAGAGGGGCACAGAATCAGATGGAGAGCATCTGTAATTAGTGTAATTTGACTTTGTTGATAAAATAGCAATTTTGTTGTCTATTAAACTAACAAATAAAATATCTTCACTACCACACACGTTTCTCGTTAAAGTAGTTTGTCACCCATGGAATGTACAAGATTCTTTTTGTAGGCATTTCAAGTCGAGTAATGAGTGCCGTTCTTTCAGTACAATAGTTTAGCTGGGTTGACCTCTTTGGTTGTTGGAGTGAAGCCACCTGGCCCTTTTTTGTACCATATATTAATGTTTTTTTTTGTTTTTTTTGTTTTTTTTTTTAACTCTAGTCCTGAAGAGCCTCTTAACTAAACTTAAAAATATTTTATTTTTATACCACTAAATACTATTTAATCCTAATTCTGCTTCCTTTGGTCCAGGCTGCATTAAAGCTCCTTAACTGAACGAGCATTTAACGTAGTTTTAGGTTAGATATTTTATTTATTAGATACAGTTTAGTGGCAGTATTATTGGTACTACACCTAACAACTTCTGTCACTGGTCTACCAGATTGTTCAAATACTCTTTTAATATTAAAACATTAATTTTTATAATGCCTAGGTTTGAGCACTTTCTCAGTCAATGGTGATTGTAGCCAAAGCGTTCAGTTTTTGTTTCATTAGACTGCAGCACTTCACAAAATTCACAAAGATTCACAATATGCTTCTGGTTTACATAAGAGCTGTTTGCAAAAGTCACATGTTGACATTTGTGATGATATCACAGTTGAGGTTACCTTCTGATAATCTTTTCATGTAGATGATGTTTTTGCAACAACACTGCACAGTAGGTCATTTCATCACCATTCCCAGGCCAGCCAAATCTTCCAGCAGGTCTTGGGCAGTAAGGTGGGGGTTTTGCTTTGTATACCTGGCCAGCCTTGACTTCGATAGTTGTCCTTAACTTTGATTTCTTAATGCCATTTCAGAAAAAGAAAGTTTATAAGCAGGTGGAATTTAGATAAATGTAATATTTTTCTTTTGCTTTCCAAGAGTCAGTAATCTATAGTTTCAGATCCTCAGTCAGCTGTTTAGGTGAATCCATGTTTTGAAGCCTTGGGAACACTACGCATCTTTTAAAGTCTTAACATATTAAAAAAAGACAGGGCTTATCACACTATCCAACTAGTTTCTGTGCATTTTGGAATACTGGGGATTTCACATTCAATCACAAGGGATTACACACTATTTAACTTTCAAGTTTTTGCTGAACTTAACAGAACTTGCTGAACTCACTATTACTAGGAGACACAAAAAATTTGGGACAGCTTCCTGCTGTTGCCGTTTTCTCTATCATTTGCACTGATGCTGTAAAGAAACACCAGGTACACATATTTAAGTGAGGGTCATGGATTTACAACTGTGATCACTGTGATATGTTTTAAATGTATGTAAACTTGATTATGCATGTGCATTAAACTAAGCTTATTAAGAAGTTTTACTTCACATGTGACTTTTTGTTTGCTTACTTACGATATTTTTCTTTGCTTACTTGGAATTTTTTCTTTTGTGCTCAGTTTTCTTTGGCTGTTGCAGGAATCCATTCAGATTGAGTCATTGACCAGTATACACTACTAGGTTGAACTCAGTCAGGTTGAAAATATCAAACATGTTTGATACACTGGCTGGTATGAAACACCAAAAATCTATGTCTGCACCCCTCGCACACTGCACATTTCTCTCTCGACTCTGCAGACCAGAGCTCAGACTCAGGCAGACTGAGAATCAGGCCTAAAATTGGGGTAAAACTCATGTAGTGTAAGTGCTAAGAGGTGAGTAAAAGAGTAAGAGGTTTGAAGGGTCACCTAATTTATTATGTTCTGAAATTGCCTATATGTGACTTGGATTGAGTCTTAGTGACCATAATAATCTCTGAGACCTTATCAAAAAGCTAAGTAATTAAGTGATTGATTTCCACATCAAATCAAAGTTTATTCTCTCTTTGCATTTTGTCAGTTGATGTATGCGTAGAGTTGGTTATTTGGATCAGAATAAACTAGACTTTTGTTGCATTGCACATTGAGTTTGTGTTTCCTTTTTTTCTTCTTCCAGAAATGAATGATGTCCTGTTTCAAGTGTTCTCCTGTACTTCCCTACCCAGCTTAATCGTGCTCCCATAACCATGTCAGGACATTCCACCAGGAGAATGATGAGCTGCTGAAAAAGGTTAAATATGAAAATATGGCACCCAGAACACGTTCCAGTACTCAGAAGAGGTCACCTGGTGCCGTCCCCATGAACGCATCTCAAAGACGAAAACAGAAACGCGACAAGGAGATAAAACACTACTGTTTGGACTGTGGGAACAGTTTTAATCGAAAGAATACTCTCAAAATGCACCGGCGCATTCACACAGGAGAGAAGCCGTATCACTGCTCAGAGTGTGGGAAGAGTTTTACCGTACAGAGTAATCTTCTAAAACACCAGCTGATTCACACTGGAGAGAAGCCGTATCGCTGCTCAGAGTGTGGGAGGAGTTTTAATCAACGGATTAATCTCCAAACACACCAGCGCACTCACACAGGAGAGAAGCCGTATCACTGCTTAGACTGTGGGAAGAGTTTTAATTACGTGAGTAATATCTTGAGACACAAGCGCATTCACACAGGAGAGAAGCCGTATTACTGCTCAGAGTGTGGGAGGAGTTTTGCGTATTCAAGTAGTTTGAAGACACACAAGTGCACTAAGAGCAGAGGTGGAAATGGGCAGTAATGATTATAACCTTAGAACACTGTAGGATTAAAAGTCTGCAGGGAATGGTGTTTCTCGCCCAAATTAGAAAAATCTGCATAGCTTTTATCAGAGGAGAAATTCAACTTTTGTTGTTTTATGCTGTTTCTAGTATATGAGTGTAAAATAAAATTTCATTAATAATATTAATAACAAAGTGAGAACAATCTGGAAGCTCCACATTAAATAATAAAGGTTCTTTTTAATTTAGTCTAGTGTGTTTCTGATGCAATGATGCATGTTTTCACAAACACGTGACAGTGGACTTTGCTCCTCAAGTCCCACTTTTGCTCATTTGATTCCTGCATGTGACATGTTTGCTTGCTGCAATGAAAGTGCCATTCAGTCTTCCCTTTTAAATCTTTAGGAGATTTTTGTATGCTGTGTTCAGGGTGTTCTTGTTGAAGACTGTAGTAAAGGAGATGTGATCCTGTAGACTGCAACAGGGAATTTTTTTGTTGTGGTGGGCAGAACTGAACAGCTTTGTAAAAGAGACACATGAGTATGAACTGCAAGACATCAAGCTGTCCGAGGCGATGTTTACATTACCAGGTTGAAGTGGCACAAATCCGATTTTTTTTGCCCTGACGTGACTCAAATCTGATGTTTTCAGAGCTGTGTGGACACGCAAATCCGACCTGAGCCACTTTCATATGTGATCCTAGATCGGATACGTGTCCGATTCATGGCCATGGGACCTTAATGCGAACGCTCAGATCAAAATTCATGTGCTCTTTTTCCAGTGCACATGCGCCATCATTCGGCATTACCATGGCAACAGCGCCGAGCAAAAGTTAAAGCCTGTAAACTGTGAAAGCTCATCTCACATCTCACCTTTTTCTCCTTCGTCTCGCTCTAATAATGAAGCTGAGAGTTGATCAGAGTTAATTATCTTCTCAGCGAAGCTCGTTCTGCTCGTTAGTTTGTGCTGATGATGCTCGTGATTCATTCATGTGACGTTACTGAGTAGGATGAGCTCATGAGGGTCATTTCAGGACGCCGGTTCATCATATTAATGACAGATTTGAGTCACTTACCTAAACGAGTGTGAACCATCGTGTAAGAAAGATCGGATTTGAGCACTGAGGCTTGTAATGTGAATGTAGCTTGAGTGACATGCTGGTGGCCTCTCCTCAGTATGGCCTTCACATGCTTGTTCTGAGCGGCATGAAGTTGGATGCAGGCCAGACTCCAACTCCTCTATAAATTTTCCATTACTGTTTTCAGAACTGTTTTCAAGACTGTTAATGTTCTTCAGGAACCTTTTGGAGAGTGATTTCTGTGACATGAGATAAGGAATTGGATGCCCATCTCCAATTTTTCCTACCAACATGGCGGTGAATCTCCATCTTCATAGACCTGGGTGAAAGGTCTCCCTGAGGATGATGTTTACACAATCTTTGCTGAATCTGACCAATAACACTGTGTTCAGTTTTGTTTTTGAACGAAGTTTAATTGTAATGTAGATTGCCTAATTTACTTTTAATTTACATAAAGGTATAACTACGTTGACCAAGTCTGATTTGCATGCAGATGACACCTGTGTGTGTTCTCACCCCCACCCCTCTCTCTCTCTCTCTCCCTCCCTGTTTTTCATCTTTTTAGCTTGCTGAATTTTTTTTTCTTTAAATGTTTAAGTTAAGCATTTGTGAGGTTGTTTGTGTTTTTATGGGAATGTTAAACTATTTAAATTATTATTATTAATAATAAAGCTCCTGTAAACCTGAAAAACATAATTCCTATTAAATTTTGTAATCTGTTGTTCATCACAGAAATTATGATTTTTGTTTTTCATACATTTCTGAATTTTGAGCAACTTTACCATCATGCTGTAGTAAATTACCCAGCACTCCATAAGCTTCAACTTGCTTTATCTTCTGAGTTCTCTTTGGCAAAAACTGGCTGGTAATGCAGCCATTTAAAGTAAATTATCACTAGAGTAAAAGTACTTTTACTTAAGTAGGTATTTTCAGTAGTCTTTCCACTACTGGAACCTGCCCTCTGAGTGGCTGAGGAGGAGGGCCTGGACTTACAGATCATCTCTACACATTCATAAAGGTGGAGATTCTAGCAGGAGACAGAGCAAGGCATAGAAACAAAGAACATGAAATGTATGTATGCAAGTGAATATAAGGAAACTGCTGGCAAGTTTACAGGAAGCGTGGAAAAAATACTTTAAATTTCAAACATGTAAATGAATAAAAAGACGCTTATTTTAAAGTAATTTTGAACTTTCTGTTGGTCCATTAAACATGAAATGTTCACACAACGGGTATCGTTTACCAATTTTTTTTTCTTAAATTTGTTCTTAAGATTGCATTAATGGGTTTAAGGTATTTTTTTTCTTAAGAACAGCTGGTGAATGAGGCCCAATGTAAGAGCAGTTTTCAAATGCAAAAAATAAAAGCTATATTTGATATCACAGTGATGTTATATTACTCACATGTACAACTAAAATTTGCTAACATGCCACTGTTATAACATCAGGTCTCAGCTCTTTTATCTTCTCAGACCTGCAGTGCTGCCAAGAAGAAAAAAAGTAAAATAAATCCAAGTCTCACCTTTATAAATACTTCAAATACAATATGTAAAAACATCAGAAGGTTCACTTATCAATGTTATAACATTATTATGTACAATATTCTCATTTTGGCTTTTAAGGAATTGTGGCTGGTTCTGTTTCCTGTGGAGGTCTGGAAATAGCATCACAGACCACCATCCATAGCATGGGTTCTTGGATGAATTAATAAAAAAGTTTATTATTAATCAAACAATTATTTGAGTAATTAATCAGTTAGTAATAGACAAGACTATAAATTTAAGTTGTCCACAATGTCTTGGCATACTGAAGTATTAAGATTTCCCTTCACTAGAAATAAGGAGTCTACTCCAACCCCTGAAAAACAACCCCATAGCATAACATCCCTAATGTTTTTACTGTTTACTGAGTCCAGTGATGGCGTGCTTAACACCAATCAATCCAATGCTTGGGTTTGGTATTGTAGGCTTGCATGCAGCTGCTTGGCCATGGAAACCCATGCCATGAAGCTCCCAGCACACAGTTTTGTGCTGATGTTGATGCCAGAGGAGGTTTGGAACTCTGCAGTTATTGATCAGCAGAGTGTTGGAGACTTTAATGCACTATGTGCCTCAGCACTCGGCGACCCACTGTGTAACTTGCTGTGGTTCATAAATGCTTCCACTTTTCAATAACACCACTCACAATTGATCATGGAATATCTAGGAGGGAGGAAATTTCGTAAACGGATTTATTGCAATGGTGGCATCCTATTACAGTACCATGCTCGAATTCACTGAGCTCTTTAGAATGACCCATTCTTTCAAAAATGTGTGTAAAGGCAGGCTGCATGGTTAGGTGCTTGATTTTATACCCCTGTGGCAATGAGACTGAATGAAACACCTGAATTCAATGCTTAAGAGGTGTCTCCCAATACTTTTGTCCATACAGTGTATATCGCATTACTTCTACAATCTGTGTTTTTGTTGGTTTGTGTTTGTCTTTTCACTGAATCTTCGTGTCTTCGATAAGAAAGACTCGGAGAAAGGATCCAGAAACATCTGAAGCACTACCATGGAGACATAGACATGGATCCTCATCTCTCTCTGCCATTTCCATACTTCTTATTTTCCCAATTCTAACTCTTTCACCTTGTCCCCCTTAAGCTCAGTTCTATCTCATTCTCTCAAGAGGTAGTGATGGGATTGTCTTGACAGCAGCGAAAAGCTCACGGCACGTCACACGGTATCTCTGCTAAATTGGTATGATGTACCAAACCTATGTCCCAGGCTATAAATCGTGTTACACTGTCGGTTTACGTGTGCCATCTGGTACTGTCACATTGATATTTACCCGAGATACCTGAGAGCCTCCAGAATAGCCAGCTGCTGAGAAGAATCTGATGACACAGTTGTCTTTCCAAGTTTGGCTAACTGGCTGGGTGGTCAATCCGCAGATGGTTTCTCGGGTTTGTTGTATTAGCAAATCTGACAAATTGCCTCATCCAAGTTTTTGGGTTCTCTTTTTTCATTTGGCTTGAAACCAAAATGTGCCCACAGCGGTGATGTTTGGCTTCGCAACTATCCATCCATGTTTCTTTCAAAAGCTGCTTATGACGAGTTGTTCGCAAATGAAATGTAAAATAGTTTGCTTGCGCCTTCTCGTGGTTTGCATGTCGAAGTGAGTGTGATTTCAGAATGCAGCTTAAGTGACTTGTGTGACACCAGCTACATTTGGATTAAAAAGGGGAAAGACATTTTTCCCTTCAAGCAGTAGTTAAGATGAACCTGTGATCATTCAGGTATTTGTCTCACCTCATTTGTTGCGATGTAAATGCATGTAATTCATATTGTTTGTTGGGCTTGAAATAAAATAACCGGAAAATGATCGTGGTCAGTGCAAATCATCGCAATTAGCTCAAATAATCGCGATCAGGGGGTTATGCCATAACTGCGACAGGTCTACCTGCTATCTGAAGAGCAAGGGAAGTAGCTTGCTGTCCGAGGAGCGATGAGGCTAATCTCATTGCTCTTCAGGTAGCAGAAGACTGACAAACACAAACACTTCAAAAATATGAAATAGCATTTATCTTCATACAAAATAAATACAAACATAAATATTCCTTAAAAATATTACAAACATGCTGATCTGTTTATGTTTATTGTTATTTAATGAGTTTTTATTAGTCTTCTTGCTTTATGACATTTCTCTGCACTTGTATGTTTAGTGTGTTACATGTATGTATTTACCAAAACAAATTCTTTGTATGACTAACATAGTGAAATAACATGATTCTGATGTAAATGATGTTATGGAACCAAAAAAAAGTCTCCATCTATTAGGTTATATAGTGTGGCACAGCAGCTAACTTGCCAGCTAGTTTTTGCCAAAAAGAACTGCAAAGTGAAGCTTGTCTGATGTTGTGTAATTGTATGAAAAACACCTGTTCATAAAGTCTATTAACTGATATACCCCAAACTGAAAAAACAGTGAGCTTCAAAAGAAGAAAATTTATTAGGATTTTTTTTTTACACATTTACAGGAAAAATAAAAAGGAATATGATTAAAATGATATAAATGGAGAAAAATGAAACAAATAATCTCAACTATTTAACACATATGACATCATACATTACCTCAAAAGCAAGGACTTGACTAAACAAAAGCCTAAAGAAAGAAAATACCAGGCTGAAAATAAGAAGAAGAGAGAGAAAGTGTGGTGGGGGTTGAGAGCACTCTGAATGGTGTCTTCTTCACTTAACACAGACTTGGTCAAAGTAATTATATCTTATGCACATTATATGTAAATTAGACAATCTACATATACAATACAATTACCGTTAGAAATCAAAACTATTACAATGCAGACTGGTTCAGGAACATAACTGAACACAGTGTCATGGGTGACTGTGCCAGGTGCAGTCTTCACCAAAATGAACTGCAAAGTAGAGCTTGGCTAATGCTGGGCAATTTACCACAGCATGACTAAGATCAAAGTTCAGAACTAAAAAACACCCATTCTATGTGAAATACCCTAAAAACTAAAAACCACACACTGACTTTCAAAAGAAAAACAGGTTTACAGAAACATAAATATTACTTAAAGAATAAATATTGAGAAAGTGTAGAAAAATAATCTAAACAGCTTTACATTCACAAAAACACAAGCTCAGACGCAAAGGCTTCACTAAGACACATGCTGTAAGAGAGAAATCAGGCACCTAAAACTAAGAGGGGGGAGAGAGCAAGAGGGAGAGAGACATAAATATATAGACAAAAGTATTGGGACACTCCTCCTAATTATTGAGTTCAGATGTTTCAGCCACACTAAGTGATGTAAAGCACGCTGCCCCTGGAGCAGTGGAAACGCATTCTGTGGAGTGATGAATCACGCTTCACTATCTGGCTGTCTGATGGGCAATTCTGGGCCATGAGAACTTTACCTGCCTAACTAATGCTATGGGGTTGTTTTTAAGGGGTTTGCCCCTTAGTTCAAATAAAGCATACTAAGAAATTTTGGACAATTGTACGCTTCCAACAGGTGGAAGAGTTTGGGGAACTCTTTTCAATTCCAGGATGACTGGGTGGGTGAGTTTGGTGTGGAAGAACTTAACTGGCCCTCACAGAGCCTTGACCTCAACCCCATCAAACACTAGAATGAACTAGAATGGAGATTGTGAGCCAGGCCCTCTCGTCCACCATCAGTGTCTGACCTCACAAATGCTCTTCTGGATGAATGGACACAAATTCCCACAGACTCTCTCCAACAGTTTGTAGAAAGCTTCACAGAAGAATGGAAGCTGTTAGAGCTGCAAAGGGGAACCAACTCCATATTAATGTCTATTTAGAATTTACAATGGGCATCATAAAAGTTCCTGGAGGTGTAATGTGTGGGTGTCCCAAAACCTTTCTCCATATAACGTAGATGGATAGATAGAAAGCGACAGAAAGTGAGCAAGACAGAAAATAAAATAGTACGGTGGAGGTTGAGAGTACCTGCAGGTCTCTTCCTCACCTAACATAGACTTTGTCACAGTAGTCATACCTTTATGCATATGTGAAAATGAGACTCTACATACAGAATTGCATACACATCTCGATTCATCACTACAAATCGAAGCTATTATAATGTAGGCTTGGATTGGTTCAGGAACAAAACTGTGTCACTGGATTGAGATTCAGTCAACAAAGATAGTGTCTTATGCACATCGTAACAACATCAACAAGAGTCATTCTCAGTGAGACTCAAAACCTTGAACTTCCCAACTGGTCACCTTTCATACACATCTACAATGATTGAGATACCCAGTTCAGACTGCTTTGGAGATTGGAGATGGGTATAAAGGTCCTTATCTCATGTCACAACACCTTTCTCAAGGTACATTCACTCTCCAAGCATCACAAAGAACATGAACAGTCCTTAAAAGTGTTTGAAAACAGTAATAGAAAAAGTCCATGGATGAGTTGTTATCTGGACTGTATGCAACATCGCTTAGAACAGGAATGCATGTGCCATACTGAGGAGAGGTCACTGGTTCCCCCCCTGGATAGCTTGATGTCTTGCAGTCATTCTTATTCCTTTGTCTTCTTTAAAAGCTGCTCAGTTGAATGCAAGACAGAATAAACCTCGCTGTTGCAGTCTCCAGGGTCATATCTCCTTTATTACAGTCCCAACAACACTCTGGACATACAGCATACAACACAAAGATTCAAAGGAAAGACAAAGAGGCTCACACACAAATGTTTGTCAAAACATCCATCACTGCATCAGAAACACTATACTAGCTTAGTTATACTAAATTAGAAAGTAAAGAAACTCCTTAATATATAATGTGGAGCTTCTTGATTGTTTTCCATGTGTATTACAAATCAAACAAGTTTTGAGTCAATCTGAAGTACTTCACCTTTTCAGCGGGTGTTTGAGCTGTAGGCTTGACTGTGTTCTGCTCAGAAAAATAGATTTCATTTTATGATCTTGTTTTTAAAACAAAGTAAAACAGCAATAGGTGGTTTTCCCTAGAAACATTTTGAAATCTGAGCTGGAAGCACTGTTCCCTGGAGACTTTTACTCCCAGTATGTGTTAAGGGTACACTCATTACTGCCCATTTCCATCACTGCTCTTAGTGCACTTGTGTGTCTTCACAGTTTTTGAATGCCTGAAACTCTTCCCACACTCTGAGCAGTGAAACGGCTTCTCTCCCGTGTGAATGCGCTGGTGCTCTTGGAGATTACCCTGATGATTAAAACTCTTCCCACACTCTGAGCAGTGATACGGTTTCTCTCCTGTGTGAATGAGCAGGTGTCGTTGGAAATTGCTCTGTGCAGTAAAACTCTTCCCACACTCCGAGCAGTGATACAGCTTCTCTCCTGTGTGAATGAGCTGGTGTCGTTGGAGGTTACTCTGTACAGTGAAACTCTTCCCACACTCCGAGCAGTGATACGGCTTCTCTCCTGTGTGGATGAGCTGGTGTTGTTTGAGGTTACTCAGATGATTAAAACTCTTCCCACAGTCTGAGCAGTGATACGGCTTCTCTCCTGTGTGAATGAGCTGGTGTTGTTGGAGATGACTCTGATGAGTAAAACTCTTTCCACACTCCAAGCAGTGATACGGCTTCTCTCCTGTGTGAATGCGCTGGTGTATTTTGAGCTGACTCGGATGATTAAAACTCTTCCCACACTCTGAGCACGGATACCGCTTAACTACTATGCGAATGCACTGGTGTGATACAAGATCACTCTGTTCAGTAAAACTCTTTCCGCACTCTGAGCATGGATATGGCTTCTCTTCGGTGTGAATGCACTGGTGTGATATGAGATGACTCTCATGAGTAAAACTCTTCCCACACTCCAAACAGTAGTGAGTTCTCTCCTCGATGTGTTCCTGTGTCTGTATATCAGATGTGTTCACGTGGGGGTCTCCAGCTGATGTTTGCTGAGTACTAAAACGTCTTCTGGATGGTTTCTTCTTATACTTAACCTGTTTCAGCAGCTTAATAATCCCTTTGGTAGAATGTTCCGACATGTTTACGGAAGCACATTTAAGATGGGTAGGGAAGTGCGGGAGAAGACGTGAAAACTTTATTTCTGGAAGAAGAAAAAAAGAAAATATAAACTCAGCGTGCAATGCAACAAAAGTAGTCTGATCCAATTCATGAATGCTGTGCTTGCATCAATTGGCAGAAAGTGCAAAGAAAGAATAAAATTCTGTCTGAGGTGGAAAAACCAAATCACCTAATCACCTGCACTCATTAAACAGACATAGGAACCACTGAAGTTCATATAGGGTGCCCAGGTATATGGATGGCCACCAAATATATTTCAACACATTCAAAAAATGTGCAGCATTTTTTTCTTAGTCTGCTCCAAAGAAGCAACAAACTTTGTCCACTACTTGGCTGCTAACTTTACATGAACGTGGCTCAGGTCACGAGGAGAGAGAGGAGCAAAACAGAGCCAGGTCAGATGTTGTTCTTCCCTGCTAATTGTTAAGACTATTTCCTTTATATTTTAGTTGTTATCAGTTACCCGTTAGCTCCTTACATACTGTACTTAATACAGCACTTGATTTACAAGCCTGTATACACTTTGCATCATCACGTTTAGTTTCCTGATTGTATCTGGTTAAAGTTTGCTGGACTCCATTTACACTTTTCACTGAAATGCACACCCCATTGATCCGTATACTGATATAAACCAATCACAGTGCGTCCTGGGGGTGTTTACACCTGGCTTTTTGTACAATTATGTGAAATCTGAAATGTTATCTGATCACTGAAAAGGCATGTTAGTTCAAGGTGCAAATAAAACTAGTGTAAGCTAGGCACGTTAATTCAAGTTGTACATAGAGCCAATGTAAGCTAGCTGCTACACGTAACCAACAGAGATGTCCTGACTAGAATTAGTTTTCTCTAAGAAGAAAGTCTAGTTTTCAGTACAATTCATGTACTTTTGTTCTGTGATTTTGAGGAAACACTGTCAGATGAAATCACTACATAATGGGGAAATGCATATTGGTAAATTTTCAAGAATGATTTTGCACCTTTGCTTTCAATATCTTTCTAATTTTAACTGCTTTCAGCAGTTATGATTTCATTTTTTAACAGGTGCTTAAGTGCTTCTTTAGGAAAATCCAATGTTCCGATAAAGTGCCGTAATTGTAAACAAAGGACTTTGTCTTTCTAATATATTTGTCTGTAACAGTCCCATAATACTGATCTACCGTTCCATCATTTTACTTTCTTTCAAAGAATGTGTTTACATATGTACAAACCATTCTGGTTGATTGCTGTGTTTGTAAAACTTATTCAACAAATTTGTGTTTGTAGATCACTAGAAATCATTCCTGAGGTTTAATTAAGGCAGTTTGCTTGTTTAACAACATCACAGGATGCGTAAATTTAACATGTTAGCTTAGCCGTCTGTGTAAGTACCATTTAAAATACTAGTTGTTTGTGGTTTAATAACACTTTCTGTCCATAATAAGTCCATTTGATTCTGTCCTCAGGGATTACAGAGCCAAACTTTACATTTACCTTTACAATTATGGCATTTGGTGGACACTCTTATCCACAACGACTTACAATTTGACCATTTTTTATTTTTTACACAACTGGGCGAAGGTGATGTTAGGAGTCTTGCCCAAGGACTCTTACTGGTATAGTGTAGGGTCCTTGCCCGATCAGGAAATTGAACCCCAGTCTACAGTGTAGAAGGCAGAGGTATTAACCACTACACTACACCAACCCAAAAGCTTACGAGGCTGAGGAAGTGAAGCTAAAAAAGAGGAGCATTTAAAGAGAAGAAAAGTTCTGGCATAATGGAGGCAGCTCACTTTCCCAGCATGTTTAGGGAAAGACATATAGGGAGCCAACACTACAGACTGATGTTGATCCAGAATGATGCAAATAGTGTAGAAAATAGTGTTGAGCAGGTGATATAGAAGTTTAAATATTTTTCTAAACACAACAAAAATTTATTTTTGCCTGCTCCGATTTGTCTTGTATTGCTACACATCAGTGCATGTGCAAGGTTGACAGCTACATTTCACACTAGTCGCAGATAAGTCAGACAAAACTACATAAAACACTTTATGCAAAAATGCATATCAGCCATCTTAGTCGACTGTGTGCAAATCTAACCTTTTCCTGGGTTCATTTTAATATTAAATTAAAAAGTTTTGCTCTTTGTGCGGTAGAAAAATAGACAGAGGTTCTCACTCCAGCCCTGGACTATACAAAATGTTATGTTTTTATTATCTAGCACACTTTATTCAATTTATTAACTGATTAAATGCTGGACTGAGTGTCAGATCAGGGAAAGCACAAAAATATCCAGAGCATGTGGTCTGGGATTTGGAACATCTGAACTACACTATCAGCTCTGGAAAAGCTCACACACTACACCACCTCTAAACAGACCTTAAACACCCACCACATACACTCCTACCAGCTCTTAATACCAGCCACTGACCACCAACCCCCACCCATACAGTCCCAGCTTTCAGGAAGCTCTTCATATTGTTCTAGAACAAACTGCTGTTTCCTCACCACATTTACACAGCCGGTTCTACCCATTTCGGACAGTATCAGCATATCAGTCAGTATTTCTACATTAATTACAGCATGACCTGTTTTGCACATTGTTTTATAAGTGAATAAGATCAGCTTTGTGTGTTCAAACTAACAATGGAGCAGACATACACACGCTAAGCCGCTTATCCTTCTAGGTCACGGGGGGTGCTGGAGCCTATCCCTGTGGTCATTGGGCGGAAGGCAGGAAACACCCTGGACAGGCCGCCAGTCCATCGCAGGGCAAATTTAGCAGACAGTCATGGACATAAAGGACTCATCTTAACGTTTTGTTTAAAAATGAAGACGTTGACGATGACATCAGCACACACAAGAACAGAACCTAATGAGATAAACCAAGAATCACGAAGCTCGTTCTAAACGTTGGCTGGGAACAAACATAGCACTCAGTAGGAGCTTTACAGATTAATTAACAGTTTTCCCTGTATGGTCCCATAAATATGGGATAAAACGTGCACAAATCAGAAGCAAACTGCTCTATGTTTTCCCAAATCCAACTAGGAAAAGATTTTCAACCAAATCTTCTGGCCCAGCAGCTCACATTACCAGCTCTGTCTGAGTGAAGCTGCTTCTGTGTGTCTAATCTAATTTTAAAGTCATCAGATCTTATTTTCAGAACTCAGATGTGTCTCCAGCTGTTTGTCTGAGAGTGAATGAAGAACAGTTAGTGTTGAAGTGTCGGACAGATTCCTACCTTCAGTAATTCAGCTCTGGGCTCTGCTCCTCCACCACTGTCCGAGCGGAGGAGGCGTTATAAGCGGGTAGACGGTCAGTGGTTTAGATATGAATGGGAAAGATGGCAACGCTCAAACATGGCGTCTGTTTACGGAGAAAGTCCCGCCCTTCTGTAAAAAATAGCCAATCAGCTCGCTGCTGGTTACACCGCGAGCGCAAGTACGTATTCCTGCAGGCTGGACCGAGTCCAGATGGGGATTTGCGTTCTGGGGTCTGAAACAAATGTAAGCAGGCTTAACTCTGGCGGGTCCAGGACTCTTCACCACCGTTTGTGTTTGGGTTCTTTAAAACTCTTAGTAACCTTTTGTTTTAGGCGAGCTCAACTACTTACAATAGCCGCAAACATGGCGTTTACCACTGCTGCTCTTTATAATAAGAGTCCCTCCCCCTAACAAACCCCAGAAACATTCACCCAAAACACTACAGCTTATAGCAATGCTTATAAACGTTTACATTCTATCAGTGGTGGACAGTAACTAAGTAAATGTAATTTGTTACTGTACTTAAGTAGTTTTTGTGTATCTGTACTTTACTGAAGTTTTTCCATTTTGGGCGACTTTTTACTTTCACTCCACTACATTTCAAAGTCAAATATCTCACTTTTTACTCCACTACATTATGAGAAATCTGTCCTTCCTTTTGGTTTATGTGTGTATAAAAACGTAGCATGTCAAAACGAAAGAAGCGCAAAGTAAGAACACCAATCAGGGGACAGCGGCACTTTGTTTTGAGCTTGTTTTGACCCTGTTGGTCATACCGACCCAGTGCAGCACACGGTTCAACATCAGTGCAGCAGAGTAACATTTTGGGAGAGTCTATTCAACATAAATGATGGACTAACCTAACTTTGTGTAAACAGACCACAATATAGAAATATGTACACATATGCAGTTGTGACTGACGTGTCTGTTTTCTGAATTTATATAAACACTATTTCATTTTATAGTAAATTAGTTTTGGCTGGTTTATGTTTATGAACAGAGACCTACAGATGCAGTTTAGTAAAGGAAACTCATTTGTGAATCTGAGTTTAAAGCAGTTTTTATTAAACTTAAACTTGTAACTAAGTTCAAATAAATCTTAAACTGAAACTTTGCTTGTTTGTAAAAAGTGATTTCAGAGCCACTCAGTTCTGCCTGATGGAAACTGTTCGCCTTCAGTGTTTTTTGCTTATGATAAATTTTAATAGTCATCAGCGTCACTAATTAATAACATTCTATTAAAAGACTGGTTTTCCAAGAGAGACACTGGAGTATTGAGTTAATGAAGCAGAGTCTTGTTGTAAAAATGATAATAGGACATTAAAGTCATAATTAATCTTTTAGTACTTTCGATACTTAAGTACATTTGGGGTTCTATGGAGAAACGCAGAAACGTCGACATGTCACATAAACTCAGAACAGCGCATAGAATATATATTATATATATATATATATATATATATATATACACACACACACACACACACACATATACCTGGCTGTCTAATCCCACTTTTACACACGGAAACTAGACCCGAATAAAGCAATCATGTAGATCAAAACAAACATGTTTGTGAATATTTTCAAAAAAGAAGGTAATGACTAGTGTTTTTATATGAAGCTAAACTCCAAAGTCTTCAACAATCCAGATTTCTGTCTGGGGGCAAGTTGTGCCAAAGGATCAAAGTTTTTGGATTGGTCATACTTCTAAGGAAACCATCAAATGCGTTTAGAATCAACTATTGGTCACCTGTTAAACCATTAGGATCCTTTACACTGTGATATCAACCCATTAAAAATCAAAACACAATACAAAACCAATAGAAACACTTAATGGTTCATGCCTTTTTAATAAGGGATGGATTAAGAGAGGATGTGACTCGCGCGGTCACGTGACCTAAACGTAACCGCGACACCGAAAACACATGGCCATGACGAGGCTCCTTTCGGCGTCCTGTGTGTTTGATGCTCCGATGGACATTTCCGCCTTCAGGAACAGTGAGTATACACTGGACTACACGATTAGATCCCAGAGGGAGCGGTTCGAGTCTGACCGCAGAGCCGCAGGACCGCCCTCTCAGCTCCGGGCTGATCAGTGGTGATTTACACCTGAGACGATCTGCAGGACCAAAAACATAATTTAAAACTGTAATGTTGCCATAAATACAAATAGATTATCTGTTAAAAATATTCTCTGATGTAGGGGAGAGCGGGGCACAACCAACAATTAACGCATTTTAGTTTTTTAAAATATTATTCAAAATATTTCATTTGGAATAGTCAGATTTCTATACATGCAACACATACGAACACTTGAATTTTGTTTCTAGCTCCTACTATTCAGTACAATTCCACCCAAAATAAGGGGAGTGCAGTATTCCAGTTTAGCCCATGGGTGGGTTCACTGTAACAGACAGTGGGTCAGTTTAACACCTGCTAGAAACGTCTGATCAATCAGTGCAAACAGAGTTAATTCAATATAATTCAATGTCACAAAAAACCAATTTTCCAACGTACTGCGTTAAATATTATCATCTATAAATCAGACACAGATCAACTTATGTCAACACTAACATCAGTCTGTGTGTCAAACAGTTACAGATTTATTTTAAGCAAATAAAAATATCAGTAAAATATGAACATTGTTTCTGAATGACTGCAGCTTTACCAACTGATAATGTCAATTTCATTAATAAACTTATTTAAAACCAGAACACTGACATCTGAAAGATCCTAATAAAGCAGAAGAAAATGCCTGATTTCAAATGTTTCTCTTTTTCAGTTTAAAATCTGTGTAAACTGGAACAAAAAGACTGAATGTCCTTTATCAGTCTTTGTGTACTGAAGGTGTCTGAGCTGTAACGCTGTGTGTGAACTGACCCCGTAGTGCGGAGGCTGGACTGAAGCCCAGCTGCACTTGCTGTGAGCTTGTCAGCTGCTTCTAAATGGTGCTGCATTGTAGGAAACAAGATGGAGATTACAGTAATATAAGGCTGGATTTTGTGATTTACACAAACAGCTCAGTTGCTGGAAAAAATGACTTTGAAAACAATCTTTGGCTCAGATCTCTTTGAAACACTGACGAATTGCAATGAATTTTGGTGGGAGACCACAGCTAGGAAATGTGGTAATGTGGGCAGAAGTGCCCGCTGCTTGACCTTCTATAACAATACATTAAATTGTTAGGTTGTTCCCCGCGTTTCCCTTATAAGAATCGTAGTAGTATAACAAAAATCTTTGCTAATGGAGCACCCTCCGTACAAGAGAGCAGGTCAAAGTGCTTTAGAGGACATTAAAATAGAATAACATTCAGAATAAATAAGAAAACAAGCAATAAAAAAATCATAAAGTACATTTTATAAAAAATTCCTTCTGTCACAATGCAGGGTGAGCTCTGGGTCATTGTTATGTGTCATTGTACAGGTTAATCTCTATTAAAAACAGGATAAACTCCAAAAAATGTAAGTTGCAAAATCTGGAAAAAATAGATGAATAAATAAATCTTTTTCAGGGTATTAAGTCAGGGCTGTCCAATCCTGGTCCTGGAGGTCTACCACCCTGGAGAGTTCAGATCCAACACACCTGGCTCTAATTTTCAGATGCTCCTTTAGCCCTTCATTACCTGGATCACGTGTGTTAGAATAGGACTGGAGCCAAAAATCTGCAAGGTAGTAGATATCTAGAACCTATATTAAGTCTTTAAGTGTGAGGTCTAAATTTGTGGTGCTGCGGCTCTGCTGTTGGACACTACTGGAATGAGCTGTGACTCTCAGTTGTTCATAGCCAGGTTTAGGTGTTAATCAACAGCATGTGTCTTGATCTGTCTTTGTGATGTGGAGTTTATGAGAATGGTAGTAAATCTCAGCCACAGCTACAGAGAACACTAAGGGTATAATAACATGCACTAAATACGGAGAAGAGCCACGCTGCAGAACAGAACAGCTCCGGTGTGTTACTGCATGGAAATGTTGGTTTTGTACATTTTAGACATTTCTCTGCTGGATTTCTCATGAAATAAATGCAGAAAAATGATATAACCTGCATTTTTCCCTCCTGAGAAGAACAGAACAAACTACAAGCAAATATACTTCAAAAATGTCCATCCTGAAGTTGAAGAATAAACACTTCATTTCACATTGAAGAACCAAACAACAGCATGAAGTTGTTTTGCAGTTCATATATATTTTTGTATTATTATATATTGATTTATTTTGTTGATGAGTTAAACATTAGTTGTTAAAATTTTGGACAACATAGCCTAAAAATACAACATAACATTTTTTCAATTATGTTTTCTTTAAGGGTTCTTTAGTAAAGAAGATGGTTCTAAATAGAACCATGAGCGTTTATAGAACACTTTCCAAAGGGTTTTTTGCACGATGAAAGCATTCTTCAGATTGATGGAGAATGTGCTGTAGATGGTTTTATATAGAACCTTTTTGAAAAATGTTTTATATGGCACCAAAAAGGGTTCTTCTATTGTAACAAGCCTGACATCATAACAATAGAGGAACCCATTTAATGTTATATAGGGGAATAATGGGGAAATTGTGACAAACAGGGTCAGCCACATTGACACCTGATTGTCATCCGATTGATTTAACCCCCTGACCCTCATTATCACCTGTACCAAACTGGTAATTGTAGAGGTTCCCATACTTTTAACAACAAATATATTTAATGGTGGATCACTTTGTTCAAAAAAATGGATGAAAAAATATATAATTGTTTGTTTTAGTTGTTTAATTGGGTTCTCTATCTATTGTTATGCATTAAACAAAAATCAAATTTTAGGTCACATTTATATAGGAATTCATGAAATGGTAACGGGTTCAGAAACTTTCAAACAGTAATGCTTTATACCTGCTGTTATAATTGCCCCTTCAATGAGTTTTTCTCACTGATTTTATTTTCTTTTTCCTCCTGATATTGCTCTCCCAGGTGGCAGACGGGACATCTTCCTGGAAAAACACTGAGCTGTGCATCTGAACGGGATAAAATAGGTCAAAAACAATGATGTGGCCCATCTTGATTAAAATAAAAACACAAGCAGCACCTGTTACAGAGGAAATTACCCCAGAACCCTAAGAGCATTTTATCCAGTCTAAGTAGGGCTATGCCTTTTCATCAAGTCCGACGTAGTTTGTCAAATTTCTACCCTGCTAGAGTTTTAGATGCCAGAGAAAAATATATTTTTTTTTAAGATTTATCTGGGCACTAAGTGTTTATTTACTCAGTAAAAGAAGACTATTAGAATAAATGTAAGTAATATTAATGCAATAAGTAGTGAGTCTATGTATGTTAATGTGTTTTTAACCATTTCTGTGGTTCTCCTCAAGTATTATTTGTAGTATAATACATGGTTTATTTAATCAATACTTCATTATGTTAAATCAGGTCCTGATGATGGAATTTAATAAATCAATGTCATATCTGCTCATAAACCTTCAACAATATGTTAACTTGCCAAGAAGCAGTAATCTGATTTAGGCCCCCTGTGTTATGGAAATGTACTTCATGCTTTTATATCCAGAGCTCGTTCATCTCTGGGCTGAGTGGGCCATAAAAGCATGTACATTCTAAACATAGGCAGAAATTACAAACTAACAGGCTATATTCTAGAACTGATGTGGTGAAAAAAGTGATGAACCTAAAAGTTGATTTGATCTGTCTGAGACATTCTTAATAGAAATTAGAATTTATTTATGGAATTTAATAATTATAATCAGTTTTATGTTTTTGTTGAGAAACGTTCTAAGACAAAGGCTACGTCAGATTCATGACACGTTCTTAAAGCGCAGAACTGTTCGCACCTTTGTGATATTGAGTGTGTGTAGATTCTGTTCTTACCTAAGAACAAATCCCAAATAAGAGAACATTGGTGAATGTCGGAAGCTTCATGAAAACTGCCTAAGTGGGTTTTAAGAAGAATTTTTGTTCTTACAAATGGTTGGTAAATGAGGCCCAATGTGAAGCTGGCAAAGATGTTGTAGAAATAAGTGCCCTGCAGTGTCCAGACCCCACCAGGCTGGTTGATGACTTAACTATCTGAAGTAACTGATTTGGTTAAAGTCAACCATAAGGATGCATCTACATCATTAATGTGCCTGTGGAAGAAGTCATACATACTTTGCTGTGAGAACACCGGTGCTAAGGAATCCTAGCCACAAGCCCTATCTGCTATGGTTTTCCTCATGAGCTACCAGGCTGTTTGGTTCATCAAGCTGATGGTACATGGGGACTTTAAAGTGCTCATGTTGGCTGTAACGCTATGCTATTTATCTAATTAACATCCCTGCTTTTACAAAGTGCCTTCCATGTTTATTAGAATCTGTGATGTATTTAAGTTTAGCCACTATGATCTATCCACATAAACCATATATTCGATGTTAGATAACATAAGTTTGTCCCTCTGTTGGAAACAAAACCACAATTATTCTTATTTAAAAGAAATCAAAGGCTAAGAGAGTCCAGACCAATTCCCTTAATTTTTGTCCACAGTATGAGTATGGAAAGCTTACTGTGCATAAAACTAACTTTAGTTGCTACAATGTACCTCTAATGTTAATCAGGGAGTGGAAAAAAATGGGACTCAACATACATTTGAACTGGAGAGGCTGAACAGTGATTGGAGCAGGGTGGAAGGTCAGGAGTCACATCATCTCCCAGAGGATTCTGAGAGATGGAGTCAATGGAGGTGTCAGGGCCAGAGGGATGCGTGACACTTTCAGAGACACACAATCTGCTCCAAGAACACAAAACTATGGTTATGCTCCAAAATAGGAAGCTGACCCATTACTGACCCTAACCAGTATTAGTATAGTGATCCTGATAAAGTGTTTGGTAAATGTATATCGGGCTTAAAGACTTTAAATGAACTATGACTATGTTATGTATAAATAATTTAATGTCATAAGTGGACCTGAGGGATAAAAAATAAATATACGAGAATAAAGTAGAATATAGGTCCATTAACAAGGTTACCTGAAGTTCCCTAGGTCTAGGTCAGGCTTGGTGTCTATCGAGGGGCGTACTGTGGGATAGAGAGAACAGAGTAGAGAGATTAAAGTGGTGCTCTGCCAGAGTCTTCACTCCAATTAGGGCTGGAGAAGCCCTTTTGTGGGTGGTGATATGAGGGTGGCTTTTAGTTGTTTGAAGGCCTATTCAGTGGAGGTGGTCAGACAGAAGATCTGAAAGGGGAAGGGTACTGAAGAAAAGTTATGGACAAGATACCTATAAGAACCCGCCAACCCCAAGAAAGCACATACCTGTGTTTCATTGACTGGCTTTGGGCAGTTGTGGATGACCACTACTGCCTTTTTCTGTGGATTTAACAGTTGCCTCTCTATGGAATTTCCAAGAAACTGTGCTTCAGAGAGGCCTGAATGACTCTTGGAGGTGTTGGCAGTAAGTCCTTCTCCCTCAATGGCTCTAAAACCCTGAAGAGATGGAGAAGGTGCTCGGCTCAACCTTCAGAGTGAATGATGACATTGTCCAAGTAAGTGGCAGCATATTTCTGACAGTCTCAGCATGACATCCATCAGGTTTTGAAAACTGAATGGGGTTCCATGTAACATGGACTTTTTGCCATTTTCCAAAGGCAGGAACCATTTAAAGATCCCCACGAATGCACAAAATAGGCAGCTGTCCTGTCGTCACTGGAGGTTGGGTTAAAAGTCAGGGATGAATGAGATTTGTAGTGTTACCTGATTTAAAGAATGCTGGTATCTGTTTCCTGTTTGCTTTTAATGTTGTGGTGGGTTTTTGTCAACACTTTACTGTATTTGATATGACTGGCATATCTGGCTCGATTGGGCTCATCCCGTTGGCTGATAGTGTCAGACTGGCAGATAAGGCTCGTTGTTCTGTTGTGAACAGCAGTTTTTGTTTCTCTGACTCTCATAATCTGGGAGAGGGTTTGCGGTTACCCATGGTTCCAAACTGCTATCTCCTCTCTTGTCGCCCCACTGACAATGTGCCATTGGGGAATCCCGTAGCTTCTCAACTCACCTGGCAGGGTGCGAAGAAGGTGGTCCATAGCAAATGTTTCTACCCTAGGTGTAGGTCACGCCGCACTCTGGAGAAAGACCAGATCTTCTGCTGCTACATCTTTCTGGGAGCGGGCTATTTCCTGGGTTACCTCCTGTTGCTGTAGAATGTAGTAAGATTTTTGATAACCCACTGGGAAGAAAATTGCCCATTTTTTGCTTGTGGTCAATGTGTCCAAAATGCCTGCGTTCTCCACATGTTTGGAGCCAATTTATGTAAGGAAGATTCAAGGCTTGGATTTCATTTAGCACTCTAGCCAGTGCTTGTAGGCTCCTAGGCAACTTGTCTGCTTCCTCAATGCAGCCATCACAATGGCCACTGTACTTAACACTGGGTTGTATTGGGTTGTATTGGGTCTTTAGAGAGGCAATTTTCCAACTAAAAAAGCCCAGACCATTATACCTCCTCCACCAAACTTTGCATTTGGCCAGGTACTGTTCTTATGCATCTGCCAAACTCTGATTCATCTGCAAGATAGTAAAGCATGATTCATCATGCCCGAGAAAACAATTCTATTGCTCCAGAGTCCAGCAGTGGTATGCTTTACACCACTCCAGCCACTCAAGTCTGTAATCTGTTTGACTAACAAAACTAGCTGGCCAGCTTCATGTTTTATTCTCATGCTTTAAAAAGTTATTTTAGACCAGTTGCATGATATACTGTAGAGCATAGAAGTATGGGGGAAACTTGAATGGATGTTGCTGCTTTGTAGTTTAGTTAAACCAGGCTGATGCAGCAGACCATCCAGGAAATTTACAGGTCCTCCTAATGGGGTCTGGACCTGGTACTGATAGTGGGTTTGTGTCTTTGTAGGTCAGTCATGCAGTCCTGCAGTTCTGCTCATTGTGTTCTGATCTTACTGATCACTACATTTACTACAGGTTAGTACTGCACTATCACTCCTTTAAGATGTTTATTAAAGATTTGGCTCTTGTATTTTTGTGAACCAGATTTATTGAGCATGCAGGTCCTTTTTGTCCAGTGATGCACTCTGAGGCCCTGATTTACTAACAGTTTGATTTATTGACAGAATCTACAAAGGGCATGAGGAGGGCCTGTGGAGGACTGCAATTTTTAAGTAAGCAAAATAACATGCTTTCTGTTTTGCATGATTTCCTTAATGAATATGCAATATAATTTTTTTATTTAGGACCATATAAATTTGTTATATAGCACTTTTCATTTAAATCAGAAAATCTAAAGCGCTTTGCTTTGTTCATACTATGTTCAAAATGAAAATCAGAGTGGCAAACAGGAGAAAATGAGACACAGTATTTCTAGACAGAAGCTAGTCTAAACAAATATGATTTTAATCTGGAAATAAAGACACCTGTTAAGCATAAATTCGTAACATTTTCTAGAATGCTATTATTGAATTTAGTGCCAAACCAGCACTGTTATACAATAAAGGGAATCAAGTATTAAGATACTTTTGTTTTCATTCTTTGATATACTTAAATTTTTCTTTAATATTTTCCACTACATCGCTCCTGTGTCCATTCATGTTTCCTACGATGGCATTTATTGCTTCAGTACTGTTTACAGGAAAGCAGCTCCATATCATGATGCTCCCAACTTCATACTTCACTGTGGATGTTCTTGGGATCAGAATCTCAACCCGTTTTTATCCAAACATTACGAGCTGAATTATTCCCTAAGAGCTCTGTTTTTGTGTCTTCTGACCATAAAACGTTTTAGACGTTTCAAAACATTGTCCCTGATTTTTCTAAATGCTTCTGTGCAAATGTTAGATGCACATCTCTGAACTTGCCTGATGAGGGCAGAATACAGTCCAGTTCTGGAGAATATAAAGTGCAAACCAGTTAAAAACAGGCTGTTTGTTTTTTGATTTAGATTTACACAGTCAACGCACAATAATCAGCATTTTTGTAAATGTTCCAATTTAGCCCGTTTTGCTCATTTTCAGTGGTAGTCCCTGGTCCCCTGTTAACAGCAACCAGTGATGTTCAACCAGCAATTCTTAATTTGGTTGCATTTATAGACATTCAATTCAGCAATTTTTTAACGTTCAGCAATTCTGTTAACTTAATGATGTCAGTTAGGCATTTGCTTTTTTTTAACATATAGACTTTCTTTTTTCCTTTTGTAGGGTCTGCAACAAATGATTATTCAGTGAAGGTGAAGCTTCATGATTCTGCTACTCTGCCCTGCTCTGAGAGATGCTCTGGTTCAGCGAGATGGACTGTGTTCACTAAACGCAGTGACACCCTGGCTGAGTGTGATCAGACTTCATGTAGATCAGTGAAGGAGGGATATCAGATGATCCATGATCAGTACCTGAAGGGGAATCACTCTCTCATCATCACTGATGCTGATTTCACTAAGAGAGGCTGGTACACGTGTGACTGTGATGATAAAGACATCTGTGATGTTCATCTACAGATTGAGCGTAAGTATTTATTTTATTCACTGACAGAAGAGATTTATATTACTGACACTACAGATCAGATCTGCATAGAGTTAAGGATTTTTCTGATGGTTTTTCTCTCAGCCTTGAACACTACAATTGACATAATGACCGGTGAATCTCTGATTCTAAGGCTGGATGTATCAGATCCAGTGGAGGTGATTTATAACAGCACAGGCACACCTGGACCATCCAGTGGTCAGATCTGTACAGTGGATGGACGCTCACTCCAGTGTAAACCTGAGTATGAACAGAGATCATCACTTACATCTGGTGTTGAGCTGAGAGGAGCGACTCCATCTGATAGTGGAGTTTATATTATAGTGGACAAAAAGAATAAAGAGGTCATTCACACCTACACAGTGGCAGTCCAAGGTACGCATTTAGTGTTTTAATAGCATACTTCATGTTTTACCAAGCACTGTTTCCTAACTGATGTATTGGTAATTGTGAACTAAACTGAATTAAATTAATGGGATGATGATTAGAACTGATCGCAGTCATGGGGAGGTCTCAGAAGAGGAGGCAAATAAGAAACTGCTGGAGTACAGGCACTGCCTGCTACTAGTAGCATGATGTTCATGATTATGCAAAGCCATTTTAACCTTTAATTTTTGATATCAGAAATTCACTTTTGTTGTGAAAAAATGAATACCACAAAACAGAAAAGCCTTTGAATTTTCAGAATTTGACTTTTCTGAATTTAATTTCTTATATTACATGCTCCACATACTTAAATTAATTGAGAAGTTGTGAAGGAAATTTAAAATTTACATGCTAAAAATAATTTCTTTTTAAAAAAAATAATGGTAGATTTTTGTTAGGATTTATGTTAGAATTTGATGTTCATGTGTCAAAGTTTTTTCCTAATATTAATATTTTCTCTTGTTCATATTGAATTTCTGACATCAAGACTCTTGAATTAGGACCAATCACAGTCAGGGGGAGGTCGCAGAACAGTCAAGGTGGTAATTAGGACCAATCACAGTCAGGGGGAGGACTCAGAACAAATGAGGTGATAAATGTTAAATAGTGCTGCTAACTGTTCAACATTTATTTGAAAAGCTGGTTAGCATTAGCATAGACTAGCCTATCATGATCACAGGTCTGCTCACCACAGAACACGTTCAGTTCTGGCTAACTAAAGTTAACTGGCTAACTTGAAGGATCAGCTGTGTCCCAACATCTGGAAAAGTGTAAATGGGTGGAATGTGTTTATTTCTTCATAAAATGGGGAACAGAAATTTGACATGTAATTTTTAATACAGGAATCAATTTTATTATTAGTTCTATTAGTCTGACTTTTCATTAAGACCTGAAGACTTTCCTAAAGAGCATCAATCACATTAAACTCTTCTGTTTTATTTGTTATATTTAGATGTTCAGCAGACCAGGATATGGAAGGACGGATATCGGAAGGGAAACGAAGATGGATATCATAACGGATTGGGAATTGGAGCAGGGGTTTTTGGGATTGTAGCACTGGCTCTTGGTGTAATCCTGGGAATGCTTGCTGGGCCACGAGTGCGTCCTCTAATAGACAGATGTGTCCCGACATTCAGAAGAGAAGAACTCTGAGGCAGAAGAGAAGATCCCGCAGGTGGGTTATAAGCTGAAGAAGGGGAAAGTGGTGTTTCCCTGGCCAGAGCTCCCCAGCCAGAGCTCCCCAGTCAGAGCTCCCCAGTCAGAGCTCCGAAGACTAAACCGCTTTTTCTTCTTTTTCCTTCTGGAAAAAAAAACTTAAAGCTTGATGTGATGCTCATCTACAGATATTGTGTCTGATTTGTCCCACAACAGACTTAGTAACTCCTAAACCACATCAAACAACAGTTTTTAAAGTCCACTAAAACATTGGTGGATTTTTTTCTGTGTAACTAGATGAACAAATCAATATATAATGTGTTTAGTATTATTCTGTGATTATTTGTAAGAATCAGGAGAGAGTGGTTTTAACCAACTAAATCTAAAATACTATGCATTACTGATTCCACATTTCATTTCTCTACACACGTTTAGCTTTAAATATCACAACTTTTCACCAACAGCAGAAAAGAGGTGAATGAGAAACTGCTAGAGTACATGCAGTGTATGCTACTCTAGTGGCATGATGTTCATAATTGTGCAAAGCCATTTTAACCTTTAATTTTTGATACCAGAAATTCAATTTTATGTGAAAATGTTAATCTAACTTAAAACAGAAAAAACTTTTTTTTCAAAAACATTTGAATTTTCAGAATCTGACATCTGAATTTAAGTACATACATTGCATGCTCCACATATTAAAATGAATTAAGTATTTGTAAAGGACATTAACATTTTGCATGCTAAAAAGAATTCCTTCATCCATCCATCCATCCATCCTGTAAACCGCTTATCCTTCTGGGTTGCGGTGGGGTGCTGGAGCCTATCCCAGCTATCATTGGGCGGAAGGCAGGATACACCCTGGACAGGTCGCCAGTCTATCGCAGGGCAGACAGACATACACATTCACACCTAGGGGCAATTTAGTGTGTCCAATCAGCCTGACTGCATGTTTTTGGACTGTGGGAGGAAACCGGAGTACCCGGAGGAAACCCACGCAGACACGGGGAGAACAGGCAAACTCCACACAGAAATGACCCTGGTCGCCCGGCCGGGAATTGAACCCAGGCCATTCTTGCTGTGAGGCGACAGCGCTACCCACTGTGCCACCCAGAATTCCTTCATCTAAAAATTAAATTTTACATGTTTGAACTTGACGTTCACATGTCAAAGTTGTTTTCTGATATTATTAACATTTTCTCTTGTTCATATTGAATTTCTGACATCAGGAATTTTGAATTGCCAGACATACATGAAATGGTACAAAAACATACCAAACAATTCTTATTTATTTAAATAGATCAATTACAATGCCTATGCACAACTATCAGTAAAAATAAGCCACAGAATGGCTTTAGATTTAATTTCACTGGAATTATGGATGTAAATTGTAATATGTTTTTCAGTATTTGTCACATTTGTTAAAGTGTTGGACAAATTGATGCTGCAAAATTTTACAAGCTACCTATTTCAAATTGTTCAGGGGTTTATTTGCCTGTTTTACTTGTTTACATTGACTTTTCATTATGTAGTAGGGTGAGATTTGGAGTTGATGCTTTTTGCACACGTTTACAGATCAGCAGTATATTTCGTGCTGCTCTCTTACAGATGCCTTTTTTCTCTGAACTGTAGCTGCTGTAGTGGCAAAGCCACGTCCAAAAGCATGTTAACTTTGCTCTGAATGGACACAAAGACAAACAAATCAAATCCATAAACACGGCTGATTATCAACTGAATGCTAGTGTGATCAATAGAAAACAGTTATCAAAGATGCTAATGAATTCAATAAAGAAGAAAAGAATATAAATATGCATGTAAGCGAAGAAATTGTAAAATTAAAGAAACAACAACAAAAAATATAAAGAATCCACGTTGTTGGAAAAAGTAAAAACATATAGACATTCAATAGAAAAATATACTGCTATAGAAATATATGTAGAAAGAAAATAAAGTGGTTTTACTGTGTTGTAGCATTCCTGCTGTGGGCTGAGATTAACCAGATGACTTCATTACATGTCCTATTTTACTCCTTGATCTTTCCACTTCACCAAAGATACCACAGTCTATTTTTCAAAAATGTACACTATATTACAGTTTTCCCATAGTTTTTCACCTTTAGAAATATATATTAACAGTTACATTTGTTAGAGTGGTTTGAGCACGTAGGCCATGGTGGTGCTGCTAAGGGGCCGTGGCTGTTTCTTTCTCTTTTGTTTAACTTCAATATTATTTTAAATATGGGTGATTATTTGCAAAAATAGAACATTTCTTTTTTGTCTGCCAAATGCTAGATATTTTTTATTTTCAGATCAATGTAAAAGTCAAATGTTTCTCTTCCTGTTTGTATGGATACTGAGTGGGCTACTTTCCATTCAAAAAAGTGAAAGGAGCACGGAGAGTTTCAGCCCCTCATTCAGGAGCTGAAGCTTTATGAAAGCTTTTGGATACGGCTCGGTCTGTAACTCAGTTTATGCTGGTTTTACAGATGCTATCAACATCTGTGAGAAAGCAGAAAGCAAATGAACGTTTAGAAATGTTTAGACGTTTAGAAATGTTTGGTTGTTTGTTAGTGTTTAATGTGTTGTGCTATATTATAAAATCAGACCAAATTGACAGGCTACATTCATTATTGTATTTTCTTTCTGCACTTTAAATGATCTAGTCGGTATAATTTTGTGGTCTGTGGAAGCTTATGTGGTCAGGTGTGTAAGCCGCGAGTTAGAAAAGGTGGAGAACGTCTGTGGTAGAGTGTAAACCACTACACCAACGTGTTATTTGTGTTTGATTATAGTGACTGGAGCTTTGTGTATTGAATGTCTGCTTTCTGTATGACCATATGAGGCTAACTGTACACTGTTAGAAATAAAGATACTGTGAAGGTACATTTTTCATTCTTCAAGGTACAGACAGTGTAAATGTACCCTCAAAGGCACTACAGTGGTTTTAAGGTCCAATTGTGCACCTGTCATTTCAGTGGATTATGGTACAAATATGTTCCCTGACTAAAGGTACTGAGATGTACCCTTGAGGGTTCCAGTGACAAGAGAGGCACTGACCCAGTGACAGTTTCGTACCTTTATTTCTGAGAGTGTATATTGTAATGAAATCAGTGTTTACTGTAATGTAAAGAGAGTTTAAAAGCTCTGCAGTTTGTATGGGATTATTGGGTTTAGAGTGTCAGTTTTTGTATTAATCATTGAAAAAAACTGTAACGGGATTAGTGTCATGTATTTTCTGGTATGTATCCAGTTTATCTGATTCTTACAATGATAAATATTTCAGATATGGCAAGATGAAAATGAATGTAATGGTTTGAAACAACCACAGTGCAATGAATAGGTTTGGAAACAGGAGTTCAGTGATTCACTTCTAGATTCTATTCCATTAAAGTTTTTTTTTTTTTTACTGTTCAACTTACTGTTTGTTTTAACTGAAAATTAAATAAACAAATGTGTACTGCCTGACTTCTGCACAGATCTGTTTTTCACCTTTTTTATTAGCATTTCATTATTTGTTAATCAGAAACCACAAGAAGCAAGAAAATCAGTTCGTTCATAAAGTCAAGTGAGTTCTAGCTGTTCTAGCTGTTTCTGATGCCCAGCTGTTTTAGTCCAAGTGGTTTAAACTCATTAATTGAAAATGATGAGAGGAAATTAGCTCATTTGTATTAAAAACATTTTGAAAAGTGAAGTGTCTCTGAACGTGATGTGAAACTGAGAGCACTCAAGAATAGAATTCGTATTACACCACCACATTGGATTCGAAGTTGACCGGTCAAGATGTGATTGAAGTGTAGACTTTCAGCTTTAAATAAAGACATTTAACAAAAATATGGTCAATGACTGCCCGACTAGAACCCGTGGACATCAACACATGCTGAGTTTCCTCCCTTGATAAGTGCCTTCCATTGCTGCTTGTTTGTGGGTCTTTCTGCCTTCTGTCATCAGTAAGTGAAAAGCATGCTCAGTTGGGCTGAGGTCAGGTGACTGACTTGGCCACTTAAGAACATTCCATTTCTTTGGGTTGCTTACTCAGTATGTTTTGGGTCTTTATCCATCTGTACTGTGAAGCACTGTCCTATTAGTTTTTGAGCATTTGACTAAGTCTGAGCAGAAAGTGTTGCTCTATACACTTAAGAATTCATTCTGCTATTTCTGTTAGCACTTATATCATCCATAAACACCACTGACCAACTGGGTATTCATACCTGCCCATGTCAAAGCACTACCTCCACCATGTTTGACAGATGATGTGGTATTCTTCGGATCATGAGCTGGTCCTTTCCTTCTCCATACTCTTCCCATCATTCTGCTGCAAGCTAATCTTGGTTTCTGTCCAAAGATTGTTGTTCCAGATCTAAGCAGGCTTTTTAGGTGTTGTCTAGCATAAAGAGGCATTTCTGTTTTTGAGTGTAACCAGTAGGGCAGATCGATCCAAATATCAATAGTATCGATACCAGTATCGATATGAAGTGTCCATGATTTCCAATAATAACTTCAAATGTTGATTGGTTGAACCACAGGACACTTTTCCACTTCCCCTCAGTCAATTTTATATGAACTCCAGCCCAGAGAAGGTGGCAGCGTTTCTGGATCCTGTTTATTTATGGTTTCTTCTTTGCGTTTTACAGTTTTAACTTGCATTTGTGGATGCAGCGACAAACTGTTTTCACAGACAGTGGTTCTCAGAAGTGTTTCTGAGCCCATGCAGTGATTTCCATCACAGAATCATGTCTGTTTTTAATGCAGTGCCACCTGAGAGCCCAAAGACCACAGCCTGCAAATCCTGTTTTTCAGCCTTGTTCCTTTACATACAGATTTCTCCAGATACTCTGAGCAATGTTATTCTTGAATTGTTGCAATATTTGATTGTGCAGTCTTTCTGTTGTCCATTAAACACCCAGTGTTTTTATAGCATTACACAACTTTACCAGCCTTTTGTTGTAATTAGTTTCTAAAGCACTAAAGGTAATTAACATAAACTATGGAGTTACATGACAAAAAATGACAATCTTAAGAGGCTTAAGATAGTTTATAGCTGCTATTTTATAGCTAACACATCTCCTAACTCATGCATAATCTTATTGACATATGAATTTGCCCTACATATAAATTCATATTCAAGTTGTCAACTTCATATATAAAGACTAAATCATCAATAAAG